TGCTTGCTTTCCCTAGAAGGTCACAGGCGAGGAAAGACACATGTAATTAACCAATGCAGTTAGTTGCAGTTAGGGAGGAAGAGAGTGCTGAAGTAAGGGTTCACCCAAGGTGTTAGGGGCCAATTGTCAGTTAAGGACAGACTGGTGGTGGAGCTCTGAAACGTCTTCCCAGAGTGGTTTGGGAGAACTTGAACTGCATTTGAAAGGACTGACTTCGGCATGAATAAGTGAAGAGCAGAAGCCTCGGGCCAACCTTCTCGCTGGTTCAGACATCCTTTCTGTGTACCTGGTTCCATGTCACGTGCAAAGTATGCGCTTAAGGATTGGAGGGATCAGAAAATCATTCGGGAACTGTAGCTTGTGGTTTCATAGTTCTCTAAAGCTCGCACCTGGACGTCTGAAAGAGGAACGGAAGGGAGAGGGTCAGGCAAGTTCTGGAGACATGTTAGTGGGGAAATGAGAGAAATTTTTGGCTAGCAAGAAGAGTGGGCTTCCGCAGGGATTTAATTGCTTAAAGCTCTCATTGGCAGGACTCTGGAGAGGTGAACTGAGGAGTCAGAAGAGGGATGAAGAAGTGTGGGCTCTCTTGACTTTTACTGCCTGCCAGTAGGAAAAGGACTGGCGTGCTCTTCAGGCTGGGGACCTCTGGAGCTCCGCCCCCCTTCTCTGGCCTAACTTTTCACTTGTTGGAGGACACTGCCTCCCCCCTTCTCCCTGCCCCACCGTGGTCTCCTTCATACCCTTATAACCACTGAAAAAGAGAGAGAGTTTTTATCCTTTGTTTAATGATTCAGAGTCCTCGGGGGCTGATCTGAGACCCTTTGTTCCTATAGAGGATAATGTCTGAAATAAGGGATGATTTGGGTCCTGATGGAGAAATAACAAAAACAGACAAATCACCTGTCAGAAAAAACAGGGGAGATTTTACCTAACTTCTCACTACTCACCAGACAAGGGTGAAGCTTAAATGTTACAAGGACCATTGAAAAAGTACAGTAACTAATAATCTTTTGAATATATCCAGTATTTTTTGTGTTTTACTGGACAGTAGAAATTGATGTCATTGTATCACTCCAGAAAAAAGTATCTATGTGTGTAATGCTCAGTTCACAGAGGAGTGAAGTTCTTACTTCTGTCTTAGTTGACTTTCTCTGTGTGTGTGCTGGAGTGGAAATGAGTCAGCCCCCGCTGGTCCCGAGCAGACTGGGATGTCTGCGCCCTCGTCTTTCTGCCTCTGCAGAGCTGGGCAGAGCTGCCAGGGAGCCACTGGAGAGGACAGGGACTGGCTGGGGACGTCCATCTGGGCTTCGCACAGGAATTCGGGTGGGAAACTCATGAATACCATGGGGAGGGGAGGAACTCATGCTAAGTCGAGTGTAGTCCCATGCTCGTAATAATTTGAAAAAGCTATAGCCTTAAAATCTCCTGGTTTTGTTTTGTTTTGTTTTTTTTTAACAAAGACATGACCCTATTTATAGCACAGCTTGGCATATAAATTTGGCTTGCAGCAGCTTTTTGAATCAGCTTGCAAAAAAACCTGTGAAATTGACTTTCTGCTCATATACCCACCTTGATAAGATGCTAAGGTGTTAAGAGTGGTGGTCTTTGGACCCTGAGGTGCCACAGTGATGCCCTTTACATGGACTGTCTTTGTCATAAAAAACAGAACCCCAAACTCCAGATATATGTATATCTTTAATAATAAATATTTATATAATATTTAATATATATATTTTATACATTATATAAACTATATATATATAAACTATATATATAACTATATATATATTCGTTTGAGACATCAAACTGGGCCTGAAACTCATGGCAAGCAAGTTAAAAATGTTACATAGCTCAATGTAAACTGGATTTTTAGTAAAACTTTAATCTCGCCTTTGTAACCCATTTTAAAGTAGAGGCATTTAATAATGGCCACGGGGAGTCAGTCTTCAGGCCTGAGAGTGAGGGGTGATCCTCTGCGGATCGTGTCATCACTGGTTTTGAGACCATGATGAAAGGCAAGGAGGCCAGTCATGTGACAAGAGTGATAAATTTAGAGACCAAAATCTGATTGCAATAGTAGTTCATTAGGGTTAAAAATAAAAACACCTACATCCTGAGCACAATAGTATTTACTGGCTCTGATGAGTTATGGAGCACCGGGCTGGGCAACAGAGACGGCCAGGTGAAAGCTCGGTCCCCTTCCCTCCAGCACCGTTCACTTGGTGATACAGAGTCACTGCAGGGGATCGCAAAAGACTCTAGAATGGGAGAACGCAGAAAAGGAATCTGAGGGCTGGAGGGGGTGGGTGCTGTGGGGGCCTAGGCTGGGCCAAGCCGCTCCTGAGCTTATCTTGACCGTTCAGCCTGTTACGTGCGGTTTCTATACAAGATGCCTTACACGACGGCTTGTGTGTAAATTTGTCTGGTTCCCGCTGAATTAGAGAGTACTCTTAAGTGGGAAGTAAGATAGCCACAGGAAGTCACTCCCTGATTCATATTTGTGGAGTATTTTTGTGCCTTGGGTGTTCATGTGTGTACGGTAGGTCCATCAAATTCAGTTGTCACGCTTGGTTGGAATACCAATGTCAAAGGATATATGGTACAGGGCTGTGTCCAGGAGAGGGATTTATCTGATTGTATACTATGTAAAACTTCTAATGTGCCTTCCAAGAAGGGTTCTGGCCCAGAAACTTACAAAGAAGAGAACCAGAATTACAGAAAGCTGGAAAATACGTTGTTGAGCTTTCTTCACACAATGGAAATGAATTAGTGACCGTCTATCTCCCTCTCGAACAAATATTTTTAAATTATCATTTGAATGGATGTCGATTCTTAGCCTGCCAGAGTGCGGGGCTCTCACTCCCGCCCCCAGAATAGCCCTGGGCAGGTGGAAAGGGCTGTGTGACAGCATAGGAACTACTTGGACACAATCCTAGTCCCGAGACCAACTATGGAGCTTTTGAAGAACCCAGAAGTTTCTTTATGGACTTTATTCTGACAGCAGTGAGACGTCAATAAAATGAATTAGGTAAGAGGGTGACATGTTTGGATCGAGATTCGGAAAGATTAGTGTGACTGCAGAGTGAGAACAGATTGGGTTGGGAGGGGAGTGCTGGAGCAGGGCCGGGGGCGCGTGAGGCTTGCTGTGATCTCTGGGAGACATTAAGGTACTCTGAACTAGTGAAAGGAGACCAGTGTGGGGATTCCACAGGGGATGTAGAATTTGACAGGATTTGGGACCCACTAGTCAGGGGGCTGAGGGAGTCATTGTTCAGAATTGCTGAAATGAGTTAGCACTGAATAGGAGAACACAAGTAACAAAAACAGGTCGATGCCTACCACCAAATTACCTTAAACGAAGAAAAACTTCACTGCACTTAAGTTGAATGTTTAGTACAAGTTAGGTGGGGTTTCTACATGTGATGCCTTCCGTGACTAGCGAAATGAAAATTTGTTTGGCTCACGCTAAAACAGGCAGCATCGTCAAACGGAAATTAAAACAACAAACCCCATGTCTCTCAAATGCTGGTCTGTATATCAAATATAGATTCACAAGCTTGCGGGCCTGAAGATGGGCCACAGGCTTAGATAGTCCTCAGGAATTATTTGTGAACCATGACTTATCCAAAATATTAAAATACTTAGATGTGAGTTGATGAAGATAAAGTTAACTGGTTTGGTCACACGACTATTTCAAAAGAAAATCTGAAATTCAGTAAGTAAGAATGGTTGTATAACCAAATCACTTAACCATCTTCACCAATCTTGGTAAAACATTTCCCTGACCAACTCCTTTCCCAGCTGAAGTCTTCTAGGCAGTTATCACTGGCTGCTACGCTGCATGTTATTTGTTTTTCTTTTGTTTTCTTTCTCTTCTCCTTGATTAACTAGGAGGTTAGCTCTACCAGAACAAGATTTAATCTGTTTGGCTCTCTGAGGTTACTGCTGTAACCTCAGCATCTAGAACAGTCCCTGACATGTATATGCATCTGAGAAGTGTTTGTTGAACGGATGTTGTTGAACAAATAAAATGAATGTCAACACAGACTATCATGATAAAAGAGACTAAAGCAGAAATTTCTGTAAGGTACTTCGAGGGCAATATATCTAATTTCACAACAGGCCTTTAAATATAACCGTATTTCGGGGCGCCTGGGTGGCTCAGTGGGTTAAAGCCTCTGCCTTCCGCTCAGGTCACGATTCCAGGGTCCTGGGATCGGACTCTCTGCTCAGCGCGGAGCCTGCTTCCCTTCCTCTCTCTCTGCCTGCCTCTCTGCCTACTTGTGATCTCTGCATGTCAAATCAATCAATCAATAAAAAAAAAATAAATAAATAAATAAAACCGTATTTCAAGTTTTCTGTCTAGACCGGTTTTCTTCTCAACATTTATTCAAAACGTGTAGTTTACGTATTCAAACTCTACCGAATTAAGTTTAAAAAACCTGCACATTTGAATGATGAGAAATATACTTCATTTTAAATGATGCTGTTTTTGAATTAACTCTGGACTTGACACGGGGGGAAATTATGTAGATACGTGCAACTTAAAACCTGAAGCCTCCAGTCCTTTCTAAGGGCACAGGACGCACTGGAATTCCAACAGCATCGCTGTAACTCTGAAACAATCTGTAAAACTCTTCCCTCACCGTAGCGGCACCCCCGCCGGCGTTTCTGGAGGATCAAAACCACTTTGTGATACCGAGGTGAGGTGAGAGCAGTGCTCTTTCCAGCCCTGTCCGTAGGAGGGAGGCTTTCTTGCCCTGCGTTTCCGGAGACTTTGTTCAGTCTCCGAAATCCGAGTTTCTCGTGTCTGTCCAAGGCTGCACTTTCAGCAGCGCGCCCCGGCGCCCCGAACTCTGGGGCCCCAGAGCCCCCACGCCCGCGTGTGGCCACGAGCGTCTGCGTTGCAGCCAACAGTATTTCTGAGGATGGCATCACCTCTGGCGGTGATCCATTTGCTTTTAAAGCTCACGGCCCACTTCCAAGCCTCGGATCGCCGCCTAGCCCAGGCCGCGCGGCCCCTCCCGGGTCCTCCGCGCACGCCCACCCGCCGCCGAGCAGATCCCGCGCGCACAGCCCAGCGCACACGCCCCGCGAGCGAAACCAGGCGACCGCGGCGCGACAGCGGCCCCCGGGGCAAGGGGCTCCGACGTGCCTCCCCGGCCACCGCCTCGGTCGCCCACGCCCGCGGCTCCCGGTTCCCCGCGCCCCTCCCTTCGCCGGGTCCCCGCCTGTCCGCTGCCGCGCCCGCGGCCGCCGCCGCCCTCGGAGGCTTGTCCCTCGCCGCCCGCCGTAGCCCGGCGCTGGCCGGTCGCCGTTTCCAAGATGGCCGCGGCGCGAGCGGCTCCTGCGGCGGGCTAGAGGCGGAGGCGGAGCCGAGTCACTCCCGCACTTCGGGGCTCCCGTCCCCCGCGCCAGGCTGCAGCTTACTGCCCGCCGCGGCCATGCGAGGCCCCGTGCACGGATGAGAGAAGCCGCCGCCGCCGCCGAGCTGGTCCCCCCGCCCGCCTTCGCCGTCACCCCCGCCGCCGCCATGGAGGAGCCGCCGCCACCGCCGCCGCCGCCGCCGCCGCCGCCCCCGCCGGGACCTGAGCCTGAGTCCGAGCCCGAGCGCTACCGGGCGGCGAGGTGAGTGGGGCTGCCGCAGCGGCCCGGCGCAAAAAGCGGGTCCCGGCCTGGCCCAAGCTCGTTCGGAGGCCGAGGGGGCGTGGGGGCCTGCGCTTCCCGCCAGGTTTTGAGGGCTGCATCCAGGCTCCCGGGCCGGGCCAGAGGGGCGGGGTGCAACTCTGGACCGAGGGCACCGCGGCCGACTCGGCCGAGGGACCCCTGCCCGGGCACCGCGGGTCCGCCCGAGCTCCCAGCCTGCCCGCCCTGCCTGCAGCTTCACTGCCCGCCCCGAACGCGGCGGGGCGGGGAGCGTCGTGGGGTACCCCCGGTTCTGCGGGAACTGTGACCTCCTCCCTGCCTCGAGCTTCAGGCCAGGGGCCGTGCTGCAACTGCTTGCATCGTTGGTAAACGAAAACGCCACCTCTTTGCCCCAGTTCGAGTAAAGAAGTAGACGCTCGTGGAGCAGACACGCTCTGGCGGCTTCCCTGCGTTCTCCTCCTGCCCTCCTTTTGCACCCCCCTCCTTTGCCTGCTTTCTCTCCTGTGAGAAACTGCACTTCGTCTCTGCAAACAGGCAGGTTGGTTTCTCTTTCTGAGGGTCCTTTACCGCCTTTGGTACTAGCGAAGTGCAGATTGTTGCTCACACGTGCACATGAAGTAAAGGACTGATTTCTCTAAAACTTTGCCACCGCCCGACGCTCTAAGATGGAACTTCGGTACGCAGAGCGTTTGTTGCATTCTGTTCCTTAGAGACTGTAGTAATTAATTTTATGTCATTTTTTTTTTCCTGTCTGGAAGATCAGACTCACCGTAACTACGCGTCTACCTCTCCTTATGTGCCTATGTTTGTATGTTCTAATGTCCTCTTACCCCGTCCTTTGCATCGCAGAGTAAACTTGGAAACTGCTGCCCCCTGTCCCTTATAATGAAAATACTTGCAGAGTTCCTCTTGCATCTTAACCGTCTTGCTCTGTACTTCCAGGAATAAGGCAGATAAGTGTCCTCTTCATTTCTCCTCCTTAAAACAATTTAAAACGAATTCTGTAGCTGTAGTTAGAACTGAACACGGGAACCATATCCTTGCTTGCCGACCCAGTCATTTCAAGTGGGTTTCTTTTATTTTTATAAAACTTACTTTATAAGCTGTGAAAAACATCATTCTTCATTTTTCTAACTTCGGAGATATTTTTGTGAACTTTTAAGGAAGAATTTCTCTAAATAATATGACACGGTGTAACGGGAATTCATTTTGTTCCTTTTGAGGACATCTAACATTTTTAGAAGTTTTGTTAGGTAGCTTATTGTATAAATTTGTTAGTAGCTTATCTTTGAGCATTTTGACTCATTTAAGTTCTTCTGTAAGAGTAATAACAGTGAACACTTCTTAACAACTTAAAATGTGCCATTTTCTTTGCTTCCTTAATTTGTACAATCATCCTATGAAGTAGGTCCTGTTACCTCTCTTTTACGAGTGAGTAAACTGAAGCATAAAGGTTAGGTGTTTTGTCTTAAGTTTTCACAGCTAGTCAAGCTCAAGTCTGGCTGCACATTGCACACCCTTAAACACCTTGGAGAAGAGGCATGATTTTATTACCCAAATGGGCAGATCAGGGCTTATAAATCTGTTTAATGGAAGTTTGGGAGAAAATAGATGTGAACCTTCTTAGGTAAAAGTAAAAAGCGCACAGAGACGTGGTAATGTGCCGAAAAAATCACTTTTTCCAACGGTAAAAAGAAACTGTGATTTTTTTTCAGCCGGGTTTTTGTCTGCCTTTGTTATAATAAAAATAGGTCAGGGTAAGTGGGCTTCATCCAACTTTAAGGGAACAGCAGTGTGTGGAACAAGAAGATCTTAGAAATATTTTTCTTAGCAACATCACAGTTAATTTTACAACAGCAAATCTGTAAAATAGATTACTTGACAAAGCTGTGATTTTGTCTTATACACACCCTCACCCTCATTGTACCACCACCTCTTCGATATGCAGCGCTGACCTGTGACACACAGACAGACAACACATTTCCATGCCGGAGACCGATCCGGTGGTGATTTATGCTACCAGGTTAACTGGTTTTGGGACAGACAGAATAAACACTTTCTGCCACCTTTGTTCGTGTACCTTACATTACCGTGTCATTGATTAGGAAGGGTGCTCTAATGCCTGGGTCTTTTGTAGCGTGCAGGTCTGCACATGTTGGCCAGTGCACCGCTGTGGCAGGTGCCGGCCCAGCACATCTGCTTGGTGTGTGCTGACGTGAGAGTTATGCAATCACGGAGGAGGACAAAACAGGCTGAGAGGTGATCGTGCTCTGTTGTAGTGTGCTGCTCATTGTCAGTCATGGATACTTCTTGTCCTTATTTTTGGTAAAGAATCGGAAGGGTAGCAGTTGTTAGTGATTTAACTTAATAGTAAACATTTCTTATAATTTCTTTTTCAGACTTCTGGGTCATTTGTAGGCGGATCCTGAGATTACAAGGAGAGCTGTTAAAACTAATTTGGAACAATTTATTTCTGTGATTTCTTGAAGCTGCTCTTAAACAGAACTTGGATATTAAGGCTGATAAAAAGCTGCTCCAATCTGTAACTTTTCATTTAGAATATTTCTGTTGAAATAGCCTCGTTGTTCTCACTTATTGACCTCGAAAAGTACATGTTACATGAACTTATAAAATACCTTTTTTTTTTCTAAACCAAGGTACTTTTTTTTTGTTATACACACAAACATATTTATATGCATATATAATATATACAATTTAAATATGTAGATTAATGTGTAATGTATAGTATATATTATATAATACACTATCCATGATATACAAACACAAACATATTCATAACAAAATGAAGAAGAAATACATAACTGGAGTCTCATTTCTGTAACGGAACAACGTGGTTGTAGCCTTTATTTATAGCTATTTTCTTCCACTATCCATTGCGTATTCCTTTGCCTCAGCAAGTACCTCAGCTGGTCATGGTTCATCATCTCATAGGGTAATCCAAACTTTCCTTCACAAAGGGTCTGACCCATGAGTAGTTGTGTTTTAACTGTTCTTTTTGTTTTGTTTTCATTTTTTTTATGGTTTTCCATTGACTTCAATCACATGGTGTAGTAATACTAAGAGAAGCCCTAAGGTACCTCCTGTAATTCCACACATATATCTCATTACTTTGTTGTAGAGTAGCAGTCCAATTTCCCTTTGAGATCAGGATCAGTGACCCCCGCTGGTAAAGTAACTCCTTCTTTGATATTGATTCAGTCATGAGGATCCTAAAGTGGCTAGGCAGCTGTCTTATTTTCTAAACCAAGGTACTTTTATTTACTATTTATATAATACGGTTCTTGTAAGTTAACTAAAAAGAAATGTGTTTCACTAGTCAAAGAGTACTTGAATATTCTGTCAGTCCTAGGGAATTTGATCTCTCTCAACCTGAATGTCCCCTTTGAGCCCACATGTTTCAGTCTTGACATTGGATGTCACCTATTCTCCCTAGAGAAATCCACCTTCTGTTGCCGCTGCAGACTGCCTGGGTGGCGTCAGGGATGGGCGTGGCTTGAGGCCATTACAGCAGGAGATCCCACTGGCGGGGGCGGCTGAGGGCCCAGGAGGCCTGACCGTCTGGCAGCAGTAACAAAGGGCTCCAGTGATGGCAGAAGCTTTCTCATGTTCTGAAGTGGGGACAGCTTGTCTCTCAAGAAGGACTTTGTGCTTCCCTTTAATTGTCATATTATTAGAAGTTGCTTCTACTTCCTTCACATGTCTTCTCTCGGTGTCTTGTCAGTCTTCTTCTGAGCTCTACCTGAGATATGGGGGATATAAGGTCTTGACTGCCTACTGGATACATTTGCTCTAATAACTTCCTGTTACTTAATAATTTCTCATTCCTTGATGATTATCTTTTTACTCATAACATTCTATTGTCTCAGCCTTCTTATTTGGGTGGTGTGTGTTCATTTTAAAGACACCTGGATGCTGCGTATCAGTGGGCTGTTGGAAATCGTTTCTTCGAAGGGAAAACAGAAGAAGTGTCAGACAAGGAGTTTGGGCAGTGTCTGCTTTTTGACCGGACATTGCCTTGGCAGGATAAGATAAGCAAGGTCCAGGTCCTGTGTTTCACCTGCTTCTCAGCTCTGTCTGCACCTGGTGGGCCAGTGCATTCTTCTGCTATAGAAAGCCAGAGTTTAGCTAAGAAATTGATTGGTGAACGTGACATCAAGGGAAATTAGTTGAAAGATTCTTGCAACTAGTGTTAACAGATCAGGAAGGTTTGGCTTGTATACCTATGAGCTGTATCCCCTTCTTCTAGTAGGAGAGGCGTGTGACAAACTCTTAGGCTTTCATTTCCTTAGACTTGAGAGGCTGCTTCAAACCACCCCCCACCTCGCCCGTCCCTTGTCACTGACTTCCCTGTTAGTTGGGTTTTAGTGTGTTTGTTTATAATCTTCAGTCTACTTTAATTAGGTTCGGCCATACCTTGCTCCTCTGTCCATTCTTTGAGGTATATTATATCTTTGTCCCCTAAAGACATTTATTAAACCCTCAGTGCTAGATTTTTACTAGTGGTAAGTCACAGAAGGTCACCTAACTGTCTCCACCCACCCCATAATCCACCCTCTTGCCGCCACCCCCCCACAAAGAATCCTGCGGCATAGTTTCTGAGAAAGGTGTGGCGGAGATGTCAGTGGTTGGTGCTTTCATAAAATGCTTTTTGACTCTTGTGAGTATTATGTTCAAAAAAAGATCAGGATGGTATGTGGTTTTTCTGGATTTAAATCATTAAATTGAAAAAGATTTAGAACCATATTAGAATTCTGTGCAGCTATTAAAAACCATGTTTTTAAGGAATATTCAGTGACATGGAAAAATGCTCATGACAGAAGTCCTTCTAGAAAAGTCTTTATAGGTCAGTGGGACCTGAGTATCCAGTT